TCCTCTCCCCTCCGGGACCTCAGTACTTCCCCAACTATTCTTCTTACCTCATTGAAGTCCGCCATCCTGAAGTCGAGGGCTGCTGCCTTGCTGCAGACTTTTGCCAGCTTGCGCTGGTTGGTCAATTCCAGCAGGCAATGATCGCTGTTGCCCAGGTGGTCGAGCACCTGCAGCCCCCTCACCAGGCCGTCACCTGTGGCCAGCACCAGATCCAACAAGGCGTTTCCCCTGGTGGGGCTGTGCACCCCCTACGTGAGTGGTCAGACCTGTCTGACTGTTCTTCCCAGCAGATGTCTGAAAAGTTCAGGTCACCCATGATGACCACGTCTTTTGACCTAACTACCTCCGTGAGGTGACTTAAGAAATCCCGGTCTAGCTCTTCCCCTTGGTTGGGTGGCCCGTAGTAAACCCTCACCGTTAAGTCCCTTTCCCCATTAAGTCCCTTTATGACATTGGTGGAGTTGAAAGTAAAAGAGCTTTGGATATTATACTCCTTGTTATTAGGTCCAGTGGTGATGTGGTCTGCATTTATGTTGGGGGCCTAGAAGGCATCTAGGTCCATTGCAAGGCCTGGTGCCTTGGTGAGACTGGGAGTTGGGTAGCCTGTTGTTTGAGAGAGGTTGTTTGAGGCTAGGGAATCGAAGCCAGGACCGGTTTGTCCACATGACTCTGTTGTCCTTGTCCCAGGGTTGGTACTGTAGCAGGTCAGAGTCTGGCTCTATTGATCTGAGTGGCTACAGTTTTGGGGATTGTATTGTAATTGTAGGAATTCCTGCTTCAGATCTTTCAGATATATATCCCATCACATCAAGACCTAGCGAGCATCCTAAGCACTTTCCTGTGGGCCCAGATAAGCGTTGCAGAAAGGACCATCCAGTCACAAGGCCATAATGCCCACAATAGTATAATGCCTCTCAGTGAAGCAAATAGGGTCTGTGCTCTCCCATCCCAAGAGGCCTCAACCCCCCAGCCTTCTGCATGCAGGAAACCAGACCCTTTAAATGCAAAATAGTCATTTAAAGATGGAGACCCTCTGGCTTTGTATTATAAGCCAAGCTGATTCTCCTTCATTTCCCTTCTCTCTGCAGGTGCTGGACGTTGGAGATCTGGTGGTTATGCCTGGAATCATAGACCCTCACATCCATGCCTGTGAGCCAGGGCACACAGTCTTGGAGAGTTACTCTTCTGCAACAAAGGCTGCAGCTGCAGGAGGCATCACAACCATTGTGGACATGCCCATGTACGGTACTAGGGAGAGGGGGAAGAGCACGTTAATACCATTCCTAGTGCATGGGAAAGTAATGGCTGGTGCTGAGGGCACAATGCACACATGGATTCACCCTTGGATCTTAAAAGTTTGAGAGAAGAAGAAAGTGGCTTTTCACTTTACACAGTACACCTGAGTCCACGGGGTCTTGGACCCCTGCATGGTCTTTGCATGGCTAGTCAGCCTGTCCCAGCCCCTTCTGAACTGCACAGGTGTCTCTCAAATTCAGTGGGAGCTGGAGCATAGCCCTTCCAGACCAGGGGTCAGATCCTCAGCTGGTGTGAAGAGTGAAGTCCTGCCAGTTTACACAAGCAGGTGTCTGGCCCCAGGACTCCAATCTGTTGGGTAGAGGAGGTGTGAGGGCACCACTCTGGTTAACTGTTCCCAAGAACTGAATTACTCTAGGTGTGAAGGCAAATGGGTACAGACTGTTAGACACCTCCCAAGTCAAGGAAACCCCAGCCTTTGCTGTAAAAAGTCCTTTTATGTGCAATTGAGTGAAATCTGTTTCCAACTTCTCTCCTGACAACCATATTTGCAGCGTGAGAACAACCTCCCTCCAGGCCTCAGCTCCAAGCTACAATGGCAATAACTATGTGGAGGAGCTCTAGGATCTTGTACCCCCACTGCCTTCAGAACCTCAGGGCTAAATGTGGTTCAGCTGCGCTCTCTAATGGCCACTTTTAGCTCCTGCAGGTATTGATGCTTTTCCAGTGGGCCAAAGGGAAATGCTTTATTAATAGATTACTCTGAGGGATGGAGGAGGAGACACCTCCTTAGCATTGATTCTGATGTCCATTCACAGGGCTGATGACTGCTGCTCCTAAACCTTACTCAATCTGAGGGGGCCCTGCAGGAAGGGAAGTCTGTGGGGATGGTGACAAAAAGTCTGTTTTGATAGGGGGCCTGGGAAACACAACTCATATGTCAAAAGTGAGGAGTCAGGAAGAAAAATATCTGCTGGGGATTATCATTTTAAATGAGCCTCTCTGTTTTGATGGCTCTGGACCCCATTTTGCCTTGCCAGTCCTGCCTCCCCTCCCCCTGCCCTCTATCCCCAGCCCATTACATCATTGTTCATTCTCTCTCTCTCTTCCAGCTCTACACCCAAAAACCTACCCAGACCTCACCCAAACCAAGGTCTCCTCACCCCCTCCTCACTCCAGTACTCATGGCTCTAGTCATGGACTCCATGCCAAGAAGATGTTTGCACTGGGATAACCTGTCCTATCTGTGTGCCTTTCAGGAACTGTCTTCCCCCAACCACAACTATGGCAAACTTTGATGCCAAGCTGAAGTCTGCCAGAGGACAGTGCCACGTGGATGTAGCCTTCTGGGGTGGTGTCATCCCTGGAAACCAGGTCAGTGGTGGTTATTCAGGAATGCAATTGCACATACTTCCAGTAAGACAGGGAGCAAGGACAGAGCCCAGGTCTTGGCCACTCTCTGGATAATTCAAGGGCAGGGATCCAGCTGTACTATTGTTCCAAAAAGCAAAGCTCCACGGGCCAGGTGCTCAGTGCCTACCAGAAGTTCAGACCTGCTCAGCACCCACTGCCAACCCAGTATGCTGAGCAGGCTTGGAAGTGTGGTCTGGACCCAACAAAGAAATATCACTTATGAACCAAAGGTCATGACATACAGCAAGGGAAGCTGATCAGGCTAAACAGGTCTTCCTCTCAGCTGAGTTAAACACCCTGTAGGCACTCACAACAGTGATACTTACTGGTAAAACTCCCATTTGCTCCAGCAGGGCAGTTAGCCTCATTTCCCTTGAAGGCTTAGAGGAGACTCTTACTTAGGTTCTTGTCCATGTTAAAGAGTCTGGGCTGGTCCAGCAAGCAGCTGTTGGAAGGCACATGCTGGTTCACTCCATCCTCAAGGTTATCAGTAGTGGAGCAGTCCAAATCAAGAGTGATCATAATAATCCTTCAATCCCGAATACAACAGGAAAACACCTTGAGATTGTCCGTGATGGCCAAGTGAAACAGCTGCGACATGGCTATCAGTGCAAGTCAGACCTGCAGCCTGGGGCATGAAAGATTTGCCCATGGAAGGGTGCTCCAACCTTCAAAGTCAACTGGAATTTGACCATAACAAACTACTGGCTTTAGCCACTGTGAAGCAAGCTTGTTCAACAGGCATGCAAAATCACTGGAAAGGCCTGAGCTTCCCACACCCTGTGAACAGCACTCAGTGTGTCAAACATTGGCTTGAATCTGGTTTGTGTTGCTGGAACACCCTGAAGCCCTGACTGTGTGTCAGAGACTTGATACCTTGACAACATAGAACATTACATGTGTTTCAGTTGTTTAAGTTATCTGCAGTGGTCCTGACCAGCACTTGAGCATTAGGGCTCAAGAGGCAACACCTGTAAATGCTTTGTATGGCCATCCCCATGTCCAAAGTGATACCAAAACCAGAACGAAGCCTTTTGAATTGCTGTAGGATGAGCTCCTGCTGATGCTGCAAGCTGGAGTCCCAGGGTTCAAGTGCTTCCTGACTGGATGTAGTGACAATGAGTTCCCCAGTGTCTGCCTCCAAGACCTGCACATGGTAATGAATGAACTTGAAGGCACAGAGTGTGTTCTCTTGGTAAGCATCCCTGCCCAAGCCCCTCAATCCCGTCTCTTCTAGTCCTAGTCCCTGTTTACAGCCTCTCCCCGGACTCAACCCTCAATGACACCAGATTGGAAAGGCATCATTTTACATGCATGTAGCTTAGGCATAATTGACAGCACAAAGAAGAAGGTGGAACAGGACAGGATTGGCCTATCTGTTTAGGGTTCAGCAAGGATCCCCTACTGCATAGGTCAGGGGCTCAAAGGACAGGTGCTTCACCATTGCCTCAGACAAGCATGGAGGGAAGGCATTAAACATTTGGAATGGTATTAGATGGGCAGCTTCCTACCCCAACCACATTAACCTGCCTCACTGTTTGGCTTTGCTTTCCAGTTCCACGCAGAGCAGGATCTGGGCCAGTGGGAACCTGTGGCAGAGGGTACGTGGTAAGGACTCAGATAGGGAGTTAAGGCCATACCATATGGCTTGTCCTCAGCTACACATCCTACAAAACAAATGGACCCAACTCTCATTACACCAAGGGCCTGTAACAGGCAGGGATCCCTCCTGCTCAGTCTATGGAGTCCACAGCAAACTTGTCCTCAGCCAGTCCCACCACCACCCTTCCTGAGGTCCAAGCTGCTTTTAGACAACCTCTAGCACCAATCTGGACAGCTAAACCCACATGACTCTCTTCTGCTACCAATGCATAACAAGTTCACAGGGCCAATTTTACACTGACCTGAGCTGGACCTGCAAGGCCTAATTGTCCCTCTCCACACCCCAGCACCTACTCAACCTTCATTGGGCACTAGACACCCAACCAATCTCAGCCTTGGTAATTACTGCCCAAAGGTACACCATACAGATATCTGCAGCACCCAAGCACACTGCTGCCCTTTCCCTCAGCAGACTCAACCATATTGCCCTTCAGGGTGAGGGAACCCAGACCTATCCAGCTCCACTAAATCCTAGTACAGGCCCCTAAATGACTATAAGAATTGTCCAACAGACTGTATTCTCCTCCCAGCAATCAACAGCCTCTGAATCCCTCCCTACAGCTATTAAGGCAAACATCCTCACCTCCATCCTACTTCAGCTCACAGCCACCTGTCCTTGGCTACTTTGCTCCACAGTCTTCCCTGGTCCCCTGTGCTCCCATTGGGAGCCACCCAGTGTCATCTTCCAGGGAGCTCCTACATCATCAACTGAAAAGATACAAGTGAGCTGCCTTCCTGGTTTGCACCCCTTTATAGTCCCAGGGAGCAAAGCCCCAAGTAGGCAGACTGCCCTTAAAGGGACATTCCCGAGGACTGTAAAGGTGCACCCTTGTGCACCTAAGTGATGGGATTAGAAGGCCCCCATCACAAGCCCCTTTAACTTCACCTGTGCAGGGTGTACACACAAGTGTGTGTGTGTGTGTGTGCATGTGCATGTGTATGCATACACACACACACACACACACACACACACAAGTTGGTGAGGCAGAAAGAAGTACATTGCAAGGAAGAGCCTGCTGGTGGTTCACAGATGACATCTCAATAGATTTAACCTTTCCTGGGTAGCTCAGCACTCCTGACACATCATGGGTCAAAGTCCCAAACAGAGCAAGCAGCTCACTAAGAACAGCAGCAAATGAGCATAAATGCCATGTGCCTCTGTATGCAAAAATATAGCTCTCTTTCCATCCTCCTCCCTGTGTCTGTGCAGACCCAGCTGAGTACAAGTCCTTCCTGGACTCCTGCCCTGATGCCATGGAAGTAGATGCCATCCACACCATTGCTGACCTCTGCCTCCAGTACAAGTAAGAAATAGCCTGTTTACAAACTCTCCCTTTCTCAGAGAGGGGGCTGGCCGGTGGGGAGGAGGGTGTGTGGGTGCTGTGGAGACAGCAGTTTGAGTCTCTGAAGTTCCCCTCTGCAGGCCTCAATGATTTAGGTTTTAGCTGTCACTGTATTAAAAAAAAAAGGGTTCTTTAGCCACTTTCCTTGCAGTGGTCACCCTGGGAATGTAAACTAATGTCAACTGATCACTGGGACCTATCCAGATCCACAGGCTCAACTGACCAGGCTGCCCCCTGGTTCAGCAACCCACCTGGAGGCTCTGCTCTCCAGTTGCAAAAGCCAAGGAGGGAAACCACAAGCTCAGTGAAAAAGCAGTGTAATGCTCTCACATTCTGTCCTGACAGGATGCCCTGCCACATTGTTCACCTCTCCTCTGCTCAAGCCCTGCCCATCATCAGGAAGGCTCGTCAGAAGGGTGCACCACTCACTGTGGAGACAGCACACCACTACCTCACCCTGACCTCTGAACACATCCCACCTGGAGGCACCTACTACAAGTGCCGCCCCCCTATCCGGGGCAAGAACAACCGGGTAATGGGGTGCACTGGTTGCTCCCTTGTGAAGTCTTATCTCAAAAAAATCAAATATTGTAAACATAACAAAAGTCAGGAAATGAGGACACCAGCAATGGCAGAGAAAAAGGCAACCTTTTATGAACAGACAGGAAAAATCAGCTTGGGCTAATAGGGCAGCTGCTTTAATTTCTATAGTTCCCACTTTCTTTTTAGTCCTGGTGCTCAGTCTCATGCTTCAGGCTGCTCTTTAGCTCATGCTTCTGTCACCATATTGTGAATAAGGATTGCCTAGAACAATGGTTTTCAACTGTAAACCCCTCGGGGTCCACAGACTATGTCTAAGGGGTCCATGAAAGATGACTATTATCAATCAAAAGTATGTGAATACCCACACTTATAATTCAAAGGGGTCCGCACCTCCATTTAAAATTTTTTAGGGGCCCACAAATGAAAAAAGGTTGAAAACCACTGCCTTAGAGCAAGCACGGTGCCATCTTGGGAGGCGGTTGTGAGGTGAATGTCAGAAGTAGAGGGTTGCAGCATCTAGCTGCTACATGAACAAGGCTTAAACAAAGGTTTCAGACATAGCAACAGAGACAGAGATAGATTTGGGACGTGTGGTGGAAGGGAAAGGGGTGGGATTAGCGGTAGTCTATGGGACAGTAAGAACAGAAAGGATTGCTATATGACTACACATGTGATCAGAGGGTTTGAAGTTGGACAGAAAACTCAGGTTCGTTACACAAAACCCCACCAGATGAATCATGTGATAGATGATGAAGACACTCAATGTTAGACGAAAGAGGGAAAGGCTAAGGTCACATCTCTAATGGGCACTGACAGGGCATGAACGACGCGTGTCCCCAGAGGCTGGTCAGGCACAGTGACTGCCCACAGGTGGAAGCACTTTTGGCGGCAGGGGCATGGCAACGGCAAGCGGGGAGCTCCTGCAGGCAGCCACAGTGGTGTTGGCAGTGGGAGCAGGCCAAGGTGCCGGAGGCGGTGGCGGCAGTCGGGGAGTGAACACCAACTGCCCGCAGGCAGCGTCAGCATCAGTGGTGCTTTTCACAGGGGGTGCACCGCCAATCTCAGGGGGTGCACGTGCACCCGTATGCACCCCCTACATGTTGCCAGTGTGACAGGGTGAAGAGAACGTACCGCCAAAGGAGCTGCCAGATAAGCTGTAGAGGCAGCAGGAAAGTGCAAAGTCTCTGAAGTCAAAGGAATACAGTTTCTGGAAAGATTAAGTAGTCACCAGTGTCAGCAGAGGCAGTGGGTAGCTCAAAAAGGTTATAGAGAAAGAGGCCCTTAGCTTTGCACTATTGCTAGCTCTCGTGAGTTTATATGTACTTCTGGCACATTATTTAGTTGCAATACGGGTAGGGACCTACTGAATTCACGGCGAAAGTAGAGTGAGCAATGGCTCCTTTAATCTTGCATGTTCCTCCTGCGTGCACCTTGCCCTACCTCCCACTGCTGCTGGTTAGCGGAGTACCCCACCACTCCCTCCTGATCAGCAGGGAGGCTAAAACCACAGTTTTAAACTTGGCACCATTTTTGTTTCCCCACTAGTCAGCAGCAAACAGCAGGGCCATCAGGGGCCCCCCAGACAATCGGTGGCAGGAGGCAAAAACAGCACCATATTTAAAACCACAGTTTTCTCCTCCCCGCTGAACAGAAGCAAGTCACAAGTGGGTCCCCTCCACCAATCAACAGGAGGTGGGGTGCAGGAGAACCTGCAAGATTAAAAGAGCCACGGTGCACCCCATTTCCACCATGAATTTGGTAGGTCCCTAAATATGGGATAAGCAGGTATAAAAAGGAGACAACGCTGGAACTCAATCTGTACAGAGTTTGCTTGCTTGTGTCTTCTAGTAGTTTCATAAATGTTTGCCATTTAAGAGGGACTCTGCTCCTGGATGTCATGGCAGGATGAATCAGGAATTCTGAGTGGAATAATGATCCCTGCCTGCTAAGTGAAGCAAATCTTTGCCTGCTTTCAGAAAGCCATTCTCTAGCCTCCACAGGAGGAGGAGGAGAGCTTGATCTAGCCAGCAGTGGAGTTAACCTTTCCCTTTCTCTGGGCTCTAGGAGCAGCTCTGGGCAGCTCTGCAAGAAGGGCTGATTGATATGGTTGTCTCAGCACACAATCCCTGCCCACCAGACCTGAAACACCTGGATGAAGGAGATTTTTTCAAGGCCCAAGGAGGGATTTCCTCACTGCAGTTTGGTGAGATGATATGGACCAAGCAGCCTGGCTGTACTGAGTCAGGGAGATGCAGGGTATACCTACCAGACCTTAGAGTCATCTTAGGCTCTGGGGCTGCAACAGAAGCCAGTTCTGATACTCCTGATGATTTCATTCATTGTGCTCTGTCTATTCTGCTTTCCCACCTCCTCCTCTCTCCCCATCTAATGCTGCCCTATCCCTCCAAAGCTGAAGTGATGTCTAGCACAGCCATCTGCTTTGTTCTTTCCTCTTCATCCTCTCAGCACCAGATACAGCATCCTGCTATTTGAGCAGCTCCCACTTGTGCAGGAGTGACCTGACTAGTCCATCATATGTGGCTCTTGAGTGCTTTCTGTTTTCTTTGCCCCAGGGAAGAAGCTTGCTTCTATGTTTAGACATTAATTCCAATGTGCTGCATTGAAAGGTTTTTACTCTCGGGGAAACTGAAGGATGTGCACCTGGCACTTGGAAAGAAAAGCAGTAAGGTTTGTGCTCAGAAATTTACCCAGGGCAGGTTGGCAGAGGCATGGGGAAGACGTTTGCACAGCATCTGCCCAATGGTTGATCATTAGTCATTGATATTAGGCCCTTTGGGCAAAAAACAATTAATGCAGCCACAGCTTTAAAAAAAGGCTGATCAGATGAAGTATATAACTTTCCACTTTCTCAGCCTCAGAAACCATAGGCAACAGCAAGCCACATAGCCAGAACCGACTCATTTAACATCTGTGACCTATGTATGCATGTCCTGACTGTTGTTGGAAACCACATGCAGGGCTCCCTCTGTTCTGGACCTCAGCAAAATCCAGGGGATTCTCCCTTCATGACCTGGTGCAACTGATGTGCACACGTCCTGCTGCTCTGAGCAGACTGGAAGACCAGAAGGGGTCACTGAGGCCAGGAATGGATGCTGATTTGGTGATCTGGGATCCGGACAAGGAGTTTGAGGTACTGATGGGGAAGGAGTTGGGCAGAGAGATGCACTTAAGGGGCATGTGAATAGGCTAAGAAAGCAGTGCAATAACAGATGGGAAAATGGAATGAGTGCTTGGCTTGAGGTGGTCTTATAAGCAGGGATCCTAGTTTTCTCTGATTAAAAAAAAAAATCCTCAATTTTTGGTTTTAAAAAAGTAACCCAAAATCTACATTTTTGAGTGATTAAAATGAAACACCACTGTATATGCATCTATATAAACCAAAAATAGGGGATTTTTTTTTAATAAAAAAAAAACAGGATCCCTGCTTATAACATTCCACTGAAATGCAAACACACTGCCATAATTCATGAGAGGGCAAATCTGCTGGACTTGGATCTGGAGAGGATCTTTCGGTGCCAGCTTCTTTCATCTGTGACCCATTACACTGAGATGTTACATGAACTTCAGTTTCTTTTCCCTCCTGAGGAGGTCCAGGACGATGACATTTAAAACTGCCTTTTTTATGGAGTAGCACAGATGCTCGCAGTTCAGGATCCATTATTGAATCCATCTAAGTGTCTCTTCTCTCAATTTTTAGGTGAAGAGAAACATGATTCACCATAAGAACAAGGTACAAAAATTGTTGACATTTTCTGTTCACATAATGCATCTCTCTTCCCCCAAGCACCATGTAACTCCTTTATATATGGTAACCTGTACCACTGCCTCCTATGTAATATGCACATTCTGTGGCTTCCATTTCCAGGGACAGGGGTACAAAAAGGAAGGGTATCAGACACTGTTGGGATTCCAGATTCCATCTGGATTTAGTCAGGGTGCAACTAATGTTGTCCAGAAATGTATCCCAGAGGTCTACCTTTTGGAGGTGAAAGGGTGTTCACCTTCCATGCCAGTTGTCCCAAACAGAAACTCCTGCTAAAACATTATGATTCAGACGTTTGCCTGAACTGTTTGCCATGCTTTTGTTGTAGCTAACCCCGTATCTTGGCTTCCGGCTTTGTGGAGAGGTGTTTGCTACTCTTGTACGTGGCAGATTGGCTTATCTGAAAGGGAAGTTCTCAACCAAACCACAGGGAGATCTGCTTGTGACTCAGAGAAAAACATCCATAAGAATCACCTCCCCATACTACTGAAAGGAAAGGAGGAGAGGGAGGACCACGAGACCAACTAAACCTATGAGAAGCTCCAATACAGATCTGGAAAGAGAAGAGGACTCCTTGGGGTGGGTAGGAGAGGGAAAAGCCATGGAAGCAGAGGGAATGGCAGTTTCCTTAGTGTGCTTACATAAACTCATACCTGAAACAAAAAGAGCCAGTGTGTAGCTATAGACATTGCCTGATCTGGTGCTCAGCTGCTGAAGGAATCAGAAGCTCCACTGGTTCAACTGATGTGGTCTGGCTGCTGTGACACCAGGGCAGGTTACAGTGTCCTGCAGCAACAATTTGGCTAACCCTCACAGTTCCCCAAGAAGGACATGAAGTAGGACTGATGGCAGAGGGGGCAAAAGGGTCAGGGAAAATGAATCAGGAAAATCCTCTTGTCTTTTCTCCTAATGTCCCACACTTGCAATATATAATTGAGTCCCTCACTTGCAATATATAATCCCCATGACTGGACACACTGGCTGCTGACAGATATGGGGAAAAAAACTGCTTTGCCAGAAAAAGCAGTACATTAGTTCAACTCAGCGCTGCATCATCTGTGTAAACAACGTGCTTCAGCGGGGCTTTTTGGTGCTTTTATCTAAGAGCTGATTGAATCAGCTCTTAGATAAAAATGCTAAAAAAGCCCCGTTGAAGCACCCAATCTATACAGAAATTGGGCGAGCCAGGTCAAGCTAATGCAATGGCTCTTGTGGACATGTACTAGGCTTGGTGATTAGCCAGTTTATTAACATCCACCTAACTTTAACTGCTAGCTCATCCTAGAAGGTTCTGCAGTAGGCAACAGCTAGATCTGTTGGCTAGAAGCTGAGGTCAGTAAAGCTCAAATTGGAAATAAAAGAGGCAAATGTTTAACAGCAAGGGTAAACTGACCACCGGAGTGAATTTCTACAGCCCGGAATAATTTCCTCCCCACTTGGAGCCTTCAGATGAAGACTGGATGCTTGTCAAGAACATAGGCTCTAGTTCTACCTGCAACTGCAGTATCTGACTTGGGTAGAACTAGCTGGGTAAAATTCTCCAGCCTGCATGCTATATGTGAGGTCAGTGCAGATCATTGCATTGGTTCTTTTAAAGCATATGAATAATTCATTATTCTGTTCAACTATTTTTTGCATACAATCTAATTAGCCTTTGTTTGCTGTAGGCCTGCTCTGTGGCTGGGCCATTCACCTCCCATTCTTCTCTATGACAGAGTGCAGCTATTGTTAAATCATGAATAGTCAGGGTGGCTGGTACTCCCTGGGCTGCTGCTAGGAAGAAACACCTTTAATGAAGAAGATACCAAGGCTACAATAGTGACTGACTATCAAGACTCCTATAAGTGGTCATATGTTCCTTCTCTTTGTCAAAGCCCTACCATGATATTGCCCTTGGTGATTAAGATAGGAAAAGAATTAGAACAGACTGTTAAAATGATGGGACTGTAAGCAGGTTGCCTGGCCTAGAGGTGGCTGCAGGGAGGCTTTGCTCCCTGAGGAGCGCTTCAGGCTGTCCTCCCAAATTAAGCAGTCTTTTAAGAAACAAACAATGCAAGAAACAAAATCCTATTGTCCTGTCATGGAACGGGGGGAGAGCCCCTTTGGTTCTGGCCACATCACAGTAGCTCCTCTATGCAGGAAGCATAGCTTACTGCCTCCTGCTCTTCAAACTGTTCCTTCACCATCTCTCTCCACTCTCCTCTGGGGCTTTTAAGTTCCCAGTGAGTCAATGCCTTACCTGCAGCTTCTCCACAGCTGAAGCTAGTCACCAGGCCTGGCCACCCCCTCTGAAGGGGAGAGACCAGGCTATTACAAGGCAAACTGTATAATCTAATTTATCACTCTTTTCCTAAGTAAGTCCTGATCCAAGGCCCATGACAATGAAAATGTAGAAAATGGATTTCAGCCGCTATTGGAACAGGCCCTTATTGATGCATCAAATATCCTGATTGATTTATTTTTATCAAGCACAGAACATTTCTGCCTTTTCTCCAAAACATTTGAGTTTTGATGAAAAGTTGACATTTTCATAGAAAATGCTTTCCATGAAAATTGTTGTTTGATTGAAAACGCACTTTCTCATCATGAAACAATTCAAATGGGGTGGGGGGGAGGGGGAAACAAAGCTAGTTCCATTTGGTAGCTAAGAATTCATTCAGTAGTCTCTCATCAGCCCTGGAGCATGGTCTATGTCATTTGATTTAAGCAGCAAATTACTAAAGATCTTCCTAAACATGACCTAGCCTAACAGCCCCTCCTACACCTTCAGCTATCTTCCTGAAACCTACCATTAAAAATCATGGATTCACTGACCTTACTGGCATCATCAGAAGGAAGCAAACACCAGTAAAACTCTGGGGGACTTATCCTATGAATGGGAGGCAGGGCTTCATAGCCTGGATAAAGGTCAGCCTTTCAGTTGGCAGCCAGCTCTGGTGCTGTGCCCAAGACCCAATTACAGGGAGGCCAAGCTGCACAAAGTGAGCACCAGGCTCAGTGCCACTCTCAAATGAGAGCAGGGAAACCTGGGCAGGATACTGGGCCTGCTGGAAACCCTGAGCACTGCCACCTGCCAGTGACATGAATTTGGGCCCCTGCTCCTTTGTGGTGAGGCAGTGATGCCGCTACTGTCATTCCTACTGCAAATGGCTGTCACCAGGACCATCATCTTCCCAAGGGACAGCAAACAAGCAAAACAGTCTCAGCAGCTCAGCCCTGAATCCTGCTTACAGGGTGGTCCCGCTGCTCAAGTGTCAGATGAGCCAGCTAGTCCCACCTGCAGGTCAGAAAAATGCCTAAACAAGAGCTAAAAGCAGGGAGGTCTCTGTCTCCAGAGCCCTTTTTCTTCACCTCTGTTTCACTGGCTGTTGCTCCTCTCTCCTCATGGCTTGTCCATCTCTGGTCCCCTACTTCTCCTTCTGGGATCTAGAAAATGGAGACAGAGGATATCACACACAGCTGGGAGATGGGGCTGCAGGCAGGACTTTCCTTCATTTTGCTTCTTACCAGAAACTGGTGCCACATCTGTCTTGTATCTGTAGAGTGGTGGGGGCAAAAAATCAAGTGGCTTGGCTGTTGATGTCTGGGGGACGTAGAAAGGGAGTAAGGTGGGCCCAGATCCTAGACACAATGCCTTCATTTTAAAGACTTCAGGGAGCTCAAAAATATCCATTCATCTTTTGTGTCTTAACTCTTGTCATCTTTTTATCTCTGGGTACTGAAAATGGAGGTAGTCAGGTAGGACCAGCAGATCTCCACCCTCTGCCCCTTCCCTTCCACCTCCACCCCTGGAACTCGAAATTAAAACATCACACCTTTCAACCACCCACATAAGTTGACCTTTCACACCCACTGAATTGACCCTGGCAGGCAGACTCAAATGTGTCCTCTAAGTTACAGCCAGTTACCTGTACCCACAAAGTGACTTAGCATGTTTCAAAAGCATGCTACTCAAACATCTCAAAACAGAGATAAGCACAGACCACTGCACTTAAACACAAAAACAGAGAACTGCTCAACAACCTGCTGGACTACTACTTACATGTGCTGTCCACCACCTCCATTCCTCCACCAAGCAAAACAACCCATCAAAATACTTTGAAGGACACATCCAACCTCCTCAACCTATTTTAACACACACAGGGCAGATGTAGCACTGAATGCATAGTGCAATTTGAGGGGCATTCCCTAAGCCAGACTAAGAGGTTGAAAAGCTGATAGAGACACAGCCACCCTCATCTCCAGTTCCCCATACTGGCCAGTTCATTTTGCTTATACCTCTTCTGGTTTGGGTCATTCTTCAGCTCCAGCTGTCCTTCAGAGAGCTGAAAGAGTATCCAAGCAGAGACAGCATATTTGCAACAGAGTTCAAAGCCCCCTTGAAAAACAAATGTATAGATAACACAGTACCACACACCAAACTACACATGTAGCCCGGGTACACTGTGGGGGGGTGCCCTGTCCTCCGATAACCAAATAACTTACAACCTATACAACACAATTAACACATAGGGATATTAACCTATATAACCCAAGTAAATTAACAATAACATTTCTATAAATCTTCACAAATAACAATACCAATATACACACTGAGACATTAAAACACATAAACCATGTAAACCCCCTTAAAGAATCCCCCTAGCCATATAGCCCTTAATACGACAACCTCAAAATAGGGAGTGCACTCAGCCCCTCCCTGAGGGTTTCCCTGATGCCCCTTCCCTTTAGGGCCCTAGGATGTGGACACGCCCCTCCTGCAATGGAGGGTGGAGGTGCCAGACCCTCCTCACTAGTATCAGCCTCCCCTGTGGGACCCGCTTCCCCAGCGACTCACATTTCCTCTCTGGAGAAGTCAAGGCTTGTCCCCTGGTGGCCAATCCCACAAGAGCCTCTCCCCAGCAGTGCCTTCGGCTCTCCTTGACGGCCTGGTGCCCTACACTGGGCACCCAGGGCTGTCTCGCATGGGAGCCAAGCCCTTGCAGGCTCTGACTCCCTGGTCTCACACCAGGGGTTCTCCCCTTTCCCGGGCCCTACTCTGGACACCAGAGCTCTTTTAGTTAAAAGTGGTGCTGCACTGCAGGGCTCCGGTCACTTGGCCTAGGGCCGGGACTAACATGAGCAGCCACAAGCTGCTCTTCGTGGCAGTTCTCCGTGCTCCGACCTGTGCACCAGGTGAGGTCCAAGCAGCCATGAGCTGCTTCCAGGGCCAGCTCTCCGTGTGCTGATCTGCACACCATGTGGGGCCCGAGCAGCCTCGAGCTACTCCCAGGGTCAGCTCTCCGTGTGCCAATATGTACACCAACTGCCCAGCTGCTTGCTGGGTTCACAGGCTCAAGTCGCCTCAAGCTGCTCCTAGAGCCTGATCCCCATGCACTGATTTGTGCACCGCTGAAGCTCAAGCAGGGTCCTGAGGATAGCCGTCTCTGAAGCTCCTCTCTCCTCGCTATCTCTCATCATATCTCTCCAGCCTGCTGAGCATGCTCCCCTTTTATACCCTTCAGAGGCTCCCCCCCCGAAGTTCTCCAGACCTGCTGGTGCAGTTCTGATTCAGGTCCAGCTGCTCCTTGCCCCCTCACTTTGGAAAAAAGGGCAGGGCATTGCTTCCCTTGTGCTGCCTCTGGATTGGTGAGTGGGCTCCACCAATCAAACAGCAGACCCTCGATC